CGAAACCAAAGTGATCTTTTTTGAAAGACAATCCTTGCATCTCGAAAAAATCCTAAAAAGAAGCCTTAATTTCGCAACATCTAAATAAACTCAAAAGGTTTCATTAACAGGTGAGTGAAGGAAGTAACAAAAGAAGAAAAATTATCATAAAATATTCTGGCGGGTCAAATAATGAAACGGGAAACCTCAGCATATGTTGTTTGGTTATTCGGAAACGTAGCTCCCATTACAGCAGTTCCAGTTTCACGAGCAACTACAATACCGGCTAAACGATCAATAAAAGTGAAACGCTTCCTTGAAGAAAGTTCTGTCCACGAAGGGTTCAGCAAAACTGATTTGAAACATATCACGTCAAAAGTCAAAACAGGCTTAAAGGATGGCGTTATAACTGAAGCAACTGGAATACGTAAGAAAGCGTTCAACGTTGGATTCCTTTCATCCCAAACCTAAAACAAAGCAAATTTCACTCTTAATACACCGCAGTAACAGTAGCGAAATTTACTATTCTTCTCGAAAAGATTAAAGTCAAATTTCAACCAAAGAAAAATTTACAAAAGCAGATCTTAAAAGCTCGAAGAAAAGAAGTAAAGTAAAATAAAGTGAATTTGGTTTACGAGGGTGAACCACGAGTTCCAAGTAAATCTGTTAAAAAAACTGACTTCTATAATTAGTAAAAACATTGAATATCAAAAAGTGAATAGAAAGAATAGTCTAAAAGTTCTTATTAAATATACAGCAGAAATCAAAAAAACCTCTTATGAAATGAAACTAAAAAAGCTCACGAAATGGACAACAAAATACTAAAAACAAATGCCAGAAGTTTATGTTAATATATTACAGTACATCTGAGTAATTAAAAAGCAGCAAAACAGTACCATCACTGTCGTTTCACCAATCCGTTTCAAAATTACTTCAATAGTTTGTTGCCCCGTCTTAGTAATCTCAGTCAAATCAAACCTCAAAAACTACCTTTTCAAAAAATTTAAAAGAAGGAATATTCAAAAACAGAAAACCTCAACAGATATGAGGAAGAATTAATCAATTACCAAAAAATATGAACGCCCAATTATGAAAAAACAACTACCTGTGAGGACGGAATTGTAACTTCAGTCCGTTAGCCTGCAACAATCGTCCAAACTGATCCCTTGAACCAGCCGACACTCTAATATGGAATCCTAAAGGTAGTGAGGACAAAGCCTGCCCGTCACCCGATACTGGGATAAGATTATTTAGCTTCAAAAAAACCGAGTGAGATATAACGACCTGCAACTATGAAGTGCTGAACAGTAGTAAGTTAACAAACGTGTAATTGTTGAAAGAATAAAACAAGATAATACCGTCCAGCTATTTCAAGAATATTAATGCCCCGTAAACCACAACGAAAACTCTGTTACTGACCGAAACTCCCACGAAAATCGTGCGGTTAGTCAAAGTGCTGGATTCTCGTACTTCTAAAACTGCCTCTCCAACATCTCTACCATAAAGGATTGGACGGTCACTATTAGACACACTTAATACTCCTTTAAACTGCTGTGGAACTGCAAAAGCAACTGATCCGTTTGGCCTGGAAAGATTATCACAATAGCAATACACAACAAAAAAAAATAATAGTAAAGCAACAGAAACAACTACAAAAGATATACAGAAGATCAGTACAAAACCAGCCTATTCACTTCCAACTCTAGTTTTGACTCTGGAGATATAACGATAGAAGTTGGTCTCAATTCCGGTTGAACAAATTTCAACGGATCATTGACTGTAATTATTACTCGATCTTCAAAAGTTTTGCTACGCGATGTAAATGTTGGAGCGTCAGGGTGTGTAACAACAACAACTTTAAGTTCGGTCTGCCCGGCTGTCAGTGCTTTAATTGAGACTTGGAAATAATTTGAGGTCAACTCGGAAACAGAGCCCTAAATTGATGTAAGGGTTATTATGCCAAGCAAAACAGTTGTTAAATTTTTGCCTCAAAAATGAGAGCAGAATGACAAACATATACTTGAAACAAACCCCTAAAGGAGAAGTCAATTCAATAATTCCATGGCCCCCGAGCGACCACGTGATCGTCAAAGGATATAGTGCACCACAAAATGAAAACGGATTTTCGTCATTTCCTAAACCTTCAACACGCGCCCAAGCTTTGCCGCCTTGATCAAGGGTCAAACTTGAAACCAGAATTCTGACACCAACAAGCGACACTACCTTTACTACAGCGTAATCCTATGATATAAAAAACATTTCTTAAAATACATCATAAATGCAAAGTCACAACTATTCTTCAAAATGAAACTTATTAGATACCTTGGAGAAATTGCTGTCAATATTCAACGACCCGGTAACAGAAGTCCAACCAAGATTCTTACTTGTGATAAGGCCGTCTGAATTTACTAATGCTACAGAAGAATCGTTAAGCGAAAATTTTACCGGAGGATTAGGTTGCGGCCCACCCACTAATTCAAACTGAAAATAATTTCATCATTAATGATCCTTTAAAAGGATAATTGGTCGACCATAAACCAAACCTGGAAGACAGAAGACGGAATTAGCGTGACCAACTTAGGCAAAATCGTAAGTGGAGCAAATATGTGGATATCGTGTGGCGGACTATAAATTACATCACCTCTTGCTGAGCGAGCAGAAGCTTTTAATGTTGACGTCCCAACACCTCTGCCAATTAATCGGTAATTCAGAGGATCAATTCTGAAAAAAAAAAAGGCTCAAAAAATTGTGATAAGTATTCTTTTAAAAAAAGCTGCCGTTGCAACCACTTTAACATTTAATCTGATCACTTTACTGACTTTCCGATAGCTATCTGTTAAAATATTAGAACGTCAGCTGTTCTGAATCGCTAGTAGATGTTTTACTGATATATTGCTGCCAAGGCAATGCGAACTAACCTTAGGAGCGAAAGAACGTCTGAAAGGTAACCAATTTTAACATCCATCGTTGCAACGTCATCCGGCGTAAATACAACTCGTTCAGTGCCTTCAACATTTATTTCTAATGAGACCTCGCTACTAACCTCCATCTAAAAACAAGCAAATTTTAAAACAAATCTATCTGAAAGCAAGGATATAGAAGTTGTATCTAACAAGTGTTTAAGACACTAAATTCAAATGATTACATATTTTGGCGCTTTAATTAAGATCCTATTGAGATCCGTAACTATCACTGTTAATTCAAAATGATTTCCAAAGCACAAGTCGATGAAGGAGACGACTGTTTTTCCCGTTCGCAAAGGCGTTATCTGTAAAGCAACAGTAAAAGTGGAAACCTTTCAAACAAATGAAATCAACAGACGAACCAACTTCAATGTCTTTCCTATTCACAGCGACCGAAATTACTGTAACATCATAGCCAACTACTAAATCAAAGTGTCCAGATCCTGCAGTAATTTCGTATTTCCTTGTATTTGACTTTTCGTTCCATAAAACGACTTCGTTTGGCTCTACCTTAGCTCGTCCTCTCAGCAAAAACTCCAAAGTACCAGATAACTGGCTGGACAAAGAATGCTTTTTTCCATTAGATAAGAAACTGTCGATTTTTGCCTTTATTGTGCATGAACCAGATAAACCGCGCGGCCGAACAATAGCAAATACTAGAAAAACAATGTTCTTCACACAATGTTTTACTTTTAAAAAGACAAGAATTACATTTTTCAGGTAATCCATCGCCGACGAAACCGTCAATGTTTAGTAAGCTCTCGTCGTCCACACTCCATAAAGGCAGTAAACTAGATATGGAATCAAACTGACGTTCTTGGCCCATTGATGGACCTGAAGCACACACGCCGTATCCTTTCAAGAACAAAACAGAACTGTTCTTTGTATAAATTACCGGCTGCAACAACCATCAGTGAAACAAGTTTTAAAATATGACTCAGATGCTTTAATCTACAACGTCATAAGAGCATAAAACGAAAAAAAACTTCCAGCGGCAAGAAACCTTGAAAAGTATTTTTAAATTTCATCACAGTTTCTGAGAAAGCATTCGCTAACTTGTTGATTTCAAATTACTTCATTTTTCAATACAAACACCTAACTCAATGATTACGCTAACTTAGCCCTTCTGAAGCAGTAATCAATCTGTAGCTCAAAAGGTTCAAAAAAACTTATTACGGAGGTCTTTGGACATTTCTCTTCCTTTCTCGCAGATGATCTTTCAACTCCGATTTCTATTCGAGATGGTACTGCGCAACAAACACGTAACTCAGCCACTGATGTCGCTGGCAAAGAATTTGTTTGCGTTCTGTGATTTCCAACACGTAGTCGAACAAGCTGAAAGATAAAAGCCAAATCTGCAACATAAACTAATGCTTGAAAAATTTCGTATATGACCTTAACTTACTATGTCTCCAACTCCTTCATTACAAAGCAGATGTAACTGCTTGTCAACATATTTGTGGCGCACCAGATTGACTGAATTACTATATTCAACTGCAAGAAAAGCGCTGGATGAGAGGAAGCAACAAAAAAAAACTAATGATATTGCTGAATCAAATTAGAAAACATAAAAAATTTTGAACATTTACACTGACAAATTCTTCTAAAAATTAAATCTGACTGCGAAACTAAACAAGGTAGACAAAAAGCCAAAAAACTAGGATTAAAAGCTAGAATTCATTAATATTACAGTACAATTTGCATAAAACTTTGACGGATCAAGAATCCATGGGCGCGGGCCTCCGCTATAAGTCACTACCAGTTCACTTCCAGGAGTCAATAGCACTTCTTCAGCCAATTTCAGCTAAATTTATTCATCAGTCTCAAAACCGATACAAAATAGGTAAAGAGAACTCCAAAAAACATTTCCTTAAACGTTTGCAAGAAAAAATTCATATTTGTTTTAATTCTTTTGACAGTAAGATGCAGGAAACTGATCAAATATAAAGGAAAATAAAAGTGAGCAAACTATCAAACCACTATGATACACAACCTTCAGTTTGTTGAAAGCAGAAATATAAGCTACAGCAGAATGCTTTCCAAACGTAACATTCACAGTAGTGTCTCCTGAATTCAAGGCTCGTAATGATAATGTTGCACACGCGTTAATCGTGGGTCCCAAAACCTGCTGCCTGCCTAAAAAGAAAAACAACAGTTGGGGGGAAGAATTCAAATGATACCCAACACTAGCATTAGTCCGCATTTACAATTCACTACTCCTTTTTTATGTAATGATTTTGACGGCTTCTCCTACCATGTCATCTTCCTCCTCCATTATTATTAATTCAGAGATCCTTCACCAGAAATTATTGCATCTAATTCTTTCAGATTTCTTTAAACTGTTTTCCCCATTCTACCAATAAGTTTTTGAAGTCTAATTCAACTATGTGAAGTCCTTATAAAACTTCCTAACACTTTCTGTCGCTTGCCAAAACTTCTGTTAACACTCCTTCCTTGCTTTTTTCTAGAAAAATTACTCTGCGTTAAGAAAAATTGGAAATATACAGGGACTAACCTTCAATTAACTCAAATACTGAGCTTTCAGATACAGAGGTTAAGAAAGATGCTTGTTCACAAGAAGCGACTGGCAACAATTTGCCACCTGAATCGACGTACAAAGAAACCCC